GGCACAACACGTCAGGCAGGTTATGATGGCCATTAACTCCCAACTACAGTTTCACAGGGGCTTTCATTTACAATGGTTCTCAGGCATTCACCTTGCTATACCAGTAAAATACACACTGCAAAATGTGTGGTGACGCTGACGTCAATAAAGAATTCTATATCCAGAACCGTAGTACCTTGTTGATTACCCTTTAGGAGGTTCCTTGGTGACCCCAGAGTAGAGGGTGTAATTTAATGAAATCATTAACATTTCTACAAAGCCAACAATCTGATACATTCTCTTCAGGTAGGCACTTTCACAGAACTAGCGTAAGTGACTATTCCACATGAAGCATTATCTTTTCTTGTACAGCACTGAAAGCTTACATGCTGCTTGACAAATTTGAATTTTAAAAAGTAAGAATGATTGGCACTTGGTAACTTACACAGAAATATAAAGTGGTACGAGAAAATTGCCCATTTCTTTTAGATTTACATTTTATATGTTTTTTTTTCCTTTTAAGAAGCAATAAGACATGTAATTTCCATCCACTTCAACCAGTTATGTATGAAAGAGGCTACAAGTTCAGCTCTGTAGAGGCAAAGGAAGTCATGGGGAGAGGCATCACGCCAGGAAAGAGGAGACAGCATTCTCCTCCGCCTTCAGCTCTGCTGTACTAGAGATGGTCATTTTCAGGCCAAGCCCCAAATCCTAGGACTGAAATCCATGCCTCCTTAAAATGATACTGTTCACTCTTGGTTCCCCGACCCACCAGCCCCAGTGTCTCACTTATCAAACGTCTCTCCAGGTCTATGAATTGCAAGGAGAAAAAGGAGGTGGATAGGGAAGTAGAACCAGCGTTCATAGACGAAGACTTCTCTCTATGAGTTAGATGCTCCAAACAATTTGGCATAGAACAATGATTCTCTATTAACTCATTTTAGCTAACAAATATTTATTAATATAAAACAGCAAAACACCCCACTCCGTGCATATGCCATGTTAACATTTCCTTATTGACCTTCATTGAAAAAAAAATTTTTTTTTTTTGAGATGGGGTCTCCCTCTGTCACTCAAGCTGGAGTGCAGTGGTGCAGTCATAGCTCACTACAGCCTCAACCTTCTCGGCTCGAGCAATCTTCCCTCCTCAGCCTCCTAAGCAGCTGGGACCACAGGCATGCACCACCATGCTTGGCTAATTTGAAACTTTTTTTTTTTTTTTTTTTTTTTTTTTTTTGTAGAGACTGGGTCTTGCATAGCCCAGGCTGGTCTCAAATTCCTGGGCTCAGGCGATGCTCCCATCTTGGCCTCCCACTGTGCTGGGATTACAGGAGTGAGTTCATTACAATGAACCCGGCCCTTCATTGTAATTTTGAAGATGTATAATGACAAAGTAATTGATGGCTTCGACTCATAACAACAATGCTATTTAGGGATCCTGATTTTTTTCTCATAGGAACGCTCTGTCATGTCAATTTGCAGTCTGTATGCCCTTCATGGAACACAAATAACTGACCTCATGCTCTAACATACATACGAAAATGTATATACAGGTTGAATATCCCTTCTCTAAAATGCTTAGGACCGGAAGTGTTTCAGGTTTCGGATTTTTTCAGATTTGGGAATATCTGCATACATATGATGAGATGTCTTGGGGATGGGACCCAAATCTAAACACAATATATATTTATGTTTAATATAAACCTTATATGCATAGCCTGGAAGTAGTTTGACAGAATATTTTTAATAATTTTGTGCATCTATCACATGAGGTCAGGTGTGAATTTCCCATTTGTGGGAGGGTCAGCACTCAACAAGTTTCAGATCTTACAGCATTTTGGATTTTGAATTTTCAGGTTAGGGATGCTCAACCTGTACTGTATTGATAAGACCACCTATTTATTTTTTCCTAGAATTTTCACTGTGACTTTTTTGTGGTTTAGCAGACTTACAGTCATCCCTTACTTAAGATTTAAAGAGTTCTCTCTAGTTTGCACTTTAGCATGGAAATATAAACAATTATTTCTTTGAAAACCAGTCAAAGTGGCACTTTGCCTCTAAGTGCAGTTGTTGAGTTATGAAAAGAAGTTTTTGGTCCTGACTGACAATCACCAAATTCAGAACAACAGGCAGTTTATAACAACATTTACCATGTTCACTGGGCCAGCAATGAGGTTCGTTTTTTTCTGTATTTATTTGGGGAGAGAGGAATGTGAGGGCAATAACTGGCTTATAGTATCCATCATGGTATTTGCAGCACTTAGCACATAGTAGGGAATTAATAAAAAATGAATATTGTTGATTTTACAGAGACTCCAAGAATGGAAGTAACTTCTCAAGGTTACTCAGGTTGTAAGAAGTGGGAGTAGGGTTCAAAGTCTGGTCTGACTCCAAGGCCTGTGCTCTTTCTCTCATGACAAACTTGATGGACAGATTGGTCACTTTCCTGACTCCTTGCCTCTGTTTCCCCAGTTACAAGTCAAGATTGGTCACTTTCCTGACTCCTTGCCTCTGTTTCCCCAGTTACAAGTCACATCCTTACCTTGGCAGGCAGAGGAGGTGGAAGGAGGGGCAGGTAGTATCTTGGTAGGGCAGACATTTGCAAATGCCATCAACCCCTCTTCTGAGGTGGCCCTGGAAGAATCTTACCTTGACTTCTGTTTTTAATCGGGATCCTCCACCTAAGGCACACTGAAATATTAATATGTTCCAGCTTATGCTCTACACTAGACATAGATAACACGAAACCCCATAAACGAAAGGGCCAAGATAGTAGTCCTTAGGAATGTGTTGATTGTGTTCAACCTCATTGTACGTGAGGCCCTCAAGGAAGGCCAGTGTAGATAGGGCTGAACACATACCTAACCTCTGTATCTGTAGTAGGTGCAGAAAGATCCTCAATTATAAACCCAAATACAAGATAGCAGCAAGTGAGATTTAACACCTACAGTCACACTTGGAGTTACAAGGTGTTAATGAGAAAGACATAGGGAGGAGTATATTTTTCCCCCGTTGGCCACGTGGCTTCACTATTGGTGCAGAATATTTGAAACCTCAAGTTGTGAAACTCTGAACAAGGAGGGTTTCCTGTATTATGAATGATGTCATCTTTAAGACAAGGGACTTTCAGTGAAATGCAGGAACATTCAGGGTAATGTGTTTTCAGCAAGCAGGAGCTTGAATTTATGGCAGAGGGGAGTGTGTGAGTTGACCAAAATGGAGAATGATGAGAAGTAACTAAATTATGTATGACAGTCTTTACAGAGCAGAGGAAGGAAGAAAGCTTAATGATGTTGTGGTTGAAGGACCAGCAGCGACTGGTGATGTATGGGTTGTAGGCTGGTAAGAAGAGAAATGGATCTATGAAGACCCAAAGACTATGGATGAGTGTGCCAAAGACCAAGTAGTGGATTTGGGAGGGGAGGGAAACCGGGGCTCAGGATATATGACACATTTTAGCAGCAACAAGACAGCCACGTAAAGTCAACTTGACATTAAAAATCATCATCTTAATCTATGTGGCTGTTTCAAGCCTGAGTCTTATCAGGGCAAAAAAAAAAAAAAAAAAAAAAAAAATCTATAGTTAACAATGAAGGATTTCTCCCTTTTGCTTTCCCGGCATCCACCAAGAGCAGTACATAATTTAATTATTGAATCTACAAGCTGGACCATGAGATGAAGAATGATGTGTCTGTTGTAGTGAGTAATTAGACAGAACCAACTGTTTACTCTCATCATTCTTCCTCCGTGAGGCTAAATTAATATAGTTAACAAGCTTTTGTATGGAACAGCAGTTCAAATCCGGGACGTGCAGATCAGAACTGATGATTATTACGGTAGCTGTTATTTATGGAGTGCTGACAGTAGTCTCAAGTATGAGTGAAACAGAAAGGGGTTCTTCTGTCATTCTCTGTGCTAGAACCACTGTAAGGGGCTAGACGTCTGCGTAGGGTAACGAATTTCATGAAAATCAGATTTAGTTGCTTGGGGCATACGACTCCAGAAATGTCACTGATGGTCTTTCCCATTGCGCTGTTTTTCTGATTTGCCCTGTTTTGAAACAACTGCAACAAAATGTGCACAGTATCAGTGGGCGAGCATTACCAGGAGGTAACGTGCAGTCGGGGTGCATGTGCGGTGACACGGGTCGAGCAGGGGACGGCAGGCTTTAGCAAACACCTCAGGCCCTTCCGCACAGTTTGAACAGAAACTGCAAGCCGGTCAGGCGCAGCCAAATGCAAATCCAGCTTCGAGGCACTGAGCCTCGAGGCACAGCGGCCCCGGCGGACCCAGTTCCCTGCCCCATCCGGTGTGAAACTGACCCAGCCACCGGCCAAGGGTCCTCACGGGGACGCTGCGAAACAGCGGGCTCACTCCTGAGACCCAAACCAGGTCTCCCCACCTCCCACCAGCTTCACGGCACTAGATTCTTGGGGTCGCCTTTTAATCACACAGAATCTCTAGTCGTGACTCACAGAATAGTCGTGACTCTAAGGAGTTGATGGAACACGGATGGTGGGGAAAACCTCACCACCACCACCACTAAACTGAGCAGCCCCCGACGGTCGTGCAGTCAGGCCCGGATGCGCCCAACTCGCGGCCATCCTGCGCCACGCGTGACCCGGGCAGCGGGGCGACCTCGGGGCGGCCTGGCACCCGGGGAGTGGTTTGTGCTCGGGCTGTGAACACCGCCGGCCGGACCGCGGGCTGCGTCACGGGGACTGCGAAACGTACGGCGACGCCGAGCAGCGTGTTCGCGGCGTGGGACCCTCCCTCCCTCCCGTGAGAGCTCCGGGCCCCTGGTCCCCGGCCGACAGCAGTCCCGCGAGCGCGCGGCGTCCTGGCCGCTGCCCTCTTCCGGCCCCGCGGCGGCCCCGCCTCCTCTCCCGACTTCCTTCCCTGAGCGCGGCGGCGGCGGCGGCGGGGACCAGCACCGGCTTGCGCGCGGAGCGGGCACCGGATGGTGGGCGGGGGGCAGCCGTGCGGGTACGCTGCCCGCGCGCCCCTAGCCACCGCCGCGTGGCACCGGCTGCCGGGCTGGGGCCTGGGCTGGGGCCGCGGACACTGGGGGCGCCTCGGCCGCGCTCAGCCTTTAGATCGGAGAATGCGGGCGGGGTGGGAGCGCTCGGGGTCCCGGAAGTCACTCCAGGGTCGATTTCTCGGCGGGTGCGAGGACGGCCCCCTCGGAGTACCCCGGGGAGATGGTGCTGGGCGTCTGAACATCGCATCCCTTCCTGCGCCCGTGTGTGGGGTGGGAATGCCGGATGTAGGCCCTGGATTAGAGCTGACGGGGTTGCGAGCGGCGTGGGGTGTGCCTGGGACGGTGACCGGATGTGTCTTCCTGAATCGTTGTACTCAATCTCCAGTTCCCTCTGTTTCTACAGCTGGGCCTCAGTCCTCACAGGGCTCTAGTGGGCTTTCAGCCATGCCAGGGGAAGGCGCCCAGGGAATTAGCAGGACCCTTCTCTCTCCTCCCCCTCCCTAGCCCCCCCATGTCTTCCCCTCCCTCCTCTGTAGTAGGTACTTCTCTAGCACCCCACAGCGATGATGGATGCTGACCCTTAAGCCAGGTGGGAAACCAGGCTGATCCAGCACCTGTCTTTTCCTGTTAGGGGATTGCCAGGCTTCTCAGTGAGTGACCATGGTTCCCAGCACCGACTCTCCACTTCATCTAGTCGTAGGCACTGCCGCCCTGCACTGTAGCATGTGCCTAAGTAAAGTGTGGAGCCTGAAGCAGAAATTTTGGGAAATCCTCGCCTTCCTTTAGACCACATTCCTTGCCTTTCTCAAGATTTCTCCGTGTTGCCCACCCTGTTTTTGTGTTGTCTTCCTTCCTTGCCCTTGTTTCATTCCTTTTGAAAGCGACCACTCCCCTGAGGTTCTAGGACCCCCTTCGTGGGCTCTCCCTGTTGTAGACAGCCTGTGCTTGCCCCTTGTAAACTAAGTTCCAAAAACCTTGCTTTAGGAGTAGCACTTGACATTTTTAATAGTTTCTTCTCATGCAATTCCTTACTCAGAGTTGATAACTTCTGTTCCATCTGGAGTAACGAAGGGAAAGGGAAGGGAAAAATTATCTGGTGAATATCAGAGCTGGGAAGGCTTCAGATGTTTTCTTTGAATCCATCTGGCGTGGATAATAATCCTGTGTGGTTTAGGATAAGTTACCTAAGTTCTCTGAGTCTCTGTAAGGTGGGATGGCATTGTCTACCTTAGCTAGGAGTAAGGCTCGACTGACATGATGTATATAAACTTTAACAGTGTCTGGAATCTATAGATGATCAGTAAATATTTCTTATTTCCACCCTCTTCCTGTGCTGACTCCATTTTGTAAGGGAGACAGGTAAAGGACAGAACAATTTGTAGGCTGGCATAAAAAATCCTATGAGAAAGCAGTAAATAGATAAAATATTTGGGAATGTGAAGCTATAGGTGCCAAATTCAAACTTCTGAAATAGGAAATTGCTTAAGTTTTTACTTAAGACCAGAGACTGTTTAGGGCCCATGTGTTGTGATTTGTGATTGATAAATGTAGCTAAAGTTGCCCATGTTTAGACATCTAAAGGTTCAGTGTGGTTGGGTTGAACTGGAAAACAGACTTACTAAAATGCTTCCTCTCAACTTCTGCTTTGTCACGCTTTTCTTCTAGACCCAACATGAGTGAAGTTTCCTGCAAGAAACGGGATGACTATTTGGAATGGCCTGAGTATTTTATGGCTGTGGCCTTCTTATCAGCACAGAGAAGCAAAGATCCAAATTCCCAGGTAAATGAATTTCCCAGGAGAATGCTTAGGTACTCCCAGGCAGGAGATTCCTGCACATGAGCAGAAAGGGGAGATTCAGTGGATACTTGTCAACTTGAAAGTGCAGGGTCGGTCTGCCTTTTGTGCTGCATTTCTACAAACTTACTTCTTCCTGTGAGACAGAAAATTGTCACATGCCGTTGTTAACTGCCCCTCATGCCCCTTCTGGGACCCGGGGTGCACTTTCCTTGGCTTATGGGAGCTGCCACAAAAAAACAGGCAAGGAGATCGACAGCTCTCAGCACCTGTAGCAGCTGTGCATGTGTTTTGAGTTCTGCAGTCCCTCTGGTTTTATTCCCTGCTTCCCCAGCAGCAGACCAGCCAGTTGCAGGCACCAAGCCTTTGGGCATTTTTCCTTCTAGGTCGGCGCCTGCATTGTGAATTCAGAAAACAAGATTGTCGGGATCGGGTACAATGGGATGCCAAATGGGTGCAGTGATGACCTATTGCCTTGGAGTAGGACGGCAGAGAATAAGCTGGACACCAAATACCCATACGGTAGGGCATGTTTTATGTCCCATTCTGCTTAGTGACATAGCCTGGCGAGTGCCTAATTAAGAAAGTTGGTCAGAAGGCATCATCTCCCTTTCGTCATCAACAGCTGGAAAGAAAAATATCCTACTGAACTACCCCCGTTTCCTGGCTTTGTTTCTTAAGTTCAAAGAGAGCCACGGAGAGAAGCATGGTAGTGGTCACACAGGCTGGCCCTGAGCTCCGGGGCTCTGCTGCCTGTGCTGAACCTGGCAGGCTTCACTGGCAGCCTGCTGGCGTGCACAACACCAGAGCATTGATAGTTGGCTTCTCTGCAGAGGGTCACAGCTCCTTGCAGAGATAGCTGAGGGATGTGCGTAGTGTCTCTGCAGGTTCTTTTTTTACTACTCGGAAGCAGGGTCGGCTAACCAGGGGCTGGCTCGGGCTTTGGTTTGATGAGAAGCAGGCTTCATGTAGCCCACATGCCTGATGAGAACATCTGGCTCAAGCTGATTGCTGGGAAGCGGGAAGCAAACTGTGAAATAGACATCAGGAGATGGAGGATCCAGTTGCCTCCTCCAGTTACAGGGGATGCTACAATTTCACAGTAGGCTGTGATCAGACCAAAAGCTAGAAGTGAGGCTGGGCGCGATGGCTCACGCCTGTAATCCCAGCACTTTGGGAGGTTGAGACGGGCAGATCACCTGAGGTCAGGACTTCGAGACCAGCCTGTCCAACGTGGTGAAGCCCCATCTCCACTAATGTTGACATTCTAACATAGCTACATCTACTAAAAATACAAAATTAGCCGGGCATGGTAGCAGGTGCCTGTAATCCCCGACGTGGAGGTTGTAGTGAGCCAAGATTGCGCCACTGCACTCCAACCTGGACGACAGAGCAAGACTCTATCTCAAAAAAAAAAAGAGGAAAAGAAAAAGAAAAAGCTACAAGTGTGGAACTGTAAACCTTTGGCTTGACTGTCTCTGGATTTTCACCTTGAAATTAGCAAAGGGTGCTTCTTAGAGTTTGTTGCCTGTCTGAGCCCCAGGGAAGACTCCTTCAGAGATTGCCTGGGAGGGTCCAGCCACAGCTTTACTTTTCCTTGTATTCCTTGGAGAATATGCAGCTAATGCTGGAAAAGAGGCAAATCATGCTGCGTATGCAGGTTGCTGATTTTTTGTAGGGTTAGGTCCTGTATTTTACGCCTGAAAATGAACAGCCTGGCACTGTTGGAAGGGAAAGTAGAGTAAGGCCATCCAAATGGGAAAGATTGTGCCTTCAGGCCGAGGCGTGATGTATGACCCTTCTTCTTTGTTGACTCTCCTGGTAGGTTTTCCTCTGGGTTTTTCTCATGAAGAATTCCAAGTCTACATTTAGTCTAATTTATAAATTTTTGCTAATGTTCCTGAACCTCGATCATGTTAAGTAAGCCCCATAAATTTCTTTCTAAATTGCCTAGGGGCAACTCCTCCATGTTTGAAAGAAAAAGGAAAGAGGTACCTGGAGGGAGAGGAGGAATTGAGGACTGCCAAGCAGTCTGGGTTTCCAGGGTGTGAAAAGTAGTTTAGGGATGAAGGGAACTGAATCGTCACATCCTTGATTTAACCTCACCCCTCCCTCGTAGGAGTGGGAAGAGAGGCTCGGAGTTGGGGGAGGGTAAGACTGTCTTTTCAGCCCAGCTTCAGAGCTGGTGGTAGTGGATGACTAAATAGAAAAATGCGCTGACTCAGAGAAACTCCTTGTCATCCTGATTTTGATTCTATAAGCTTTTGATGGTAAGAAAGAAGGGAAGTGATTAGTTGTTTTCAAGTCCATGCAAAGATAATTTTTCACAGTATGGTTCAATGTCCCATATAAAAATGGTGAAAGTGGAGGGTCGATATGTTAAAGATCTGCATTGAAATGTGTGACTGCCACAGTCAATATTTCACCGAGTCTAGACAGTGAAATATTGGCCCTTGTGCTGGACTTCGATATGGAGGAATTCTGGGGGGATGGCAGTCTGTCATACGCAAGCCGGTGCAAAAGATACCCGTGGTTGGACAGTGCAGAGGGGTCCTGGGTGGGCACTGAGCGGGCCTCCCGATGGGACCTGTGCCTTCTTCAGTCACCGAGAGCCCCCAGCAGATCTGTAAGCTGTGACCTGGAAGCCAAGGGCCGTGCAGTACATTTGCAGCACCTGCCCCACACCCCAGACTTCCCAGCACTCCTGACTTCCGTGTAGCTGATTTTGTTGGTTATGAGACACTGCCTTTTGTCCAAATTGAGGAGAGTGCCTTTCAGAGCCCCTTTCTACAGGGAATTTTTTTAAAAACCTACATAGGTATTTGTCCAACTTCACTGATTGTTTTTTATTGAATAGCTGCTGAGCTTCTGGGCACTGGTTGTCTGTCTGCATTATTTTTTATTATCTATATGATACCTCTAGGTTTTCAAAGCTCTTCGCCCTTACTTATCAATTATTCATTTATATGTAGCTATGTTAGAATGTCGACAATTTTCTTTCACGAGAGTAAGCTTGTAATTTGATGTACCATAAAAGTTGTAGAAGGCATTAAATGGTTTTTAAAAGGCATTTAGTATTACTACCGCCATAATACAGTAAAGATGGGCTTTAAGTCTAAATGACAATGACTGTGTATAAACTGTATACTTGTCTTCTCAAGGATTTTCAGGCCACAGAGAAGTAAATGTTTGGTTTGCCTGGGATGTCACAGAAATGTTTGCTGATAACTGACTCAAATGCAAAGGCTTTTTTTTTTTTTTTTTGCTTTTAAGATTTTCAAAATTAATTTAAGAAACAAGGGGATCCTGCCTTGAGTTGGATAGCTCACCCCGTTCTTTCCTCATCTGCATTAATGGTGACTGAGCTGCTGTAGCAGGAAGGGTAACTTCATGGGTGATGTGTTACTCCCTGTAAAGGAGCTTTGGAGATTATCTCGAGTTCTAGACAATGATTTTTAACTCTTTTGAATGTACCGGACCCTCTTTTAAATGCCAAAACATTTCCAGGACCCCTGCACAATGCTAAATTCTTAGTATCTTTTGAGTAAGAAACTCCACAATGACAAAAACTACTTTGTATCATTAACATTTTATGTTAATCTGAACTTTATTAATTGGATAGCATTTATGTATGTTTGGGGAAAGTTTATGTATGTCCTGGACCTGGGATTTATCCAGCTGTGGATATGCTTGGACCCCTTGCAATACCTCAGTAGTGTCTCAGGGTTCTGTGCCCACAGGATCTAAGCCTCCTCCTTTCCTGTAAGTAATTTCTATAATGTCACACATGCAGGGTGACATCTCCTAATTCCAAGGTCAGCGCTCTTCCTGCTACCTCCCTGTGTCTCTCCTGTGGGGCACAGGAATTCAGCTGTACTGAAATGCCAATCATCGTCTCATTTTTTTTTGCAGTTGATTAGCCTGAGGCTCCCATAAAATAACTCCTCAGAGATCAGGAGCTCGGGGAGGGGTGGCCTGTGCCTGGCATCATGCAGAAAGCCAGCATGGCTCACTGGAACATTTCTTCAAAGGGGAGTGCAGTGGACTAAATGTGTCTCCCCATAAATTCACATGTTGAAACCCTAATTCCAATACGCTGATATTTGGAGGTGGGGCCTGGGGGACGTAATTAGGCCATGAGGGTGGAGCTCTCCTGAATGGGATTAGTGCCCTTCTAAAAGGGACCCCAGAGAGCTCAGTTACTCTCTTTCCATGTGCAAGGATAGGAGGAGAAGATGACTGTCTGCAACCCTGAAAGAGGACCTTGCCGGAACCTAACCATGCTGGTGTCCTGACTTCCAGCCTCCAGAACCGTGAGAAATAAATGTATTGTTTTTCAGCCACGCAGTCTATGGGACTTTATTATAGCAGCCCAAGGGACTGTGACAGGGAATTGAGAATTGTGTAAATTTGAGTTTACCAAATAACATACAACTTAATACTGCTTTATTAATTCTGTAAGTCGGAATTCGTTAGTCCTGATTGACGCCTTGTGGGGAGGAGGGAAACACATACTACTTGTAACATAATAGGAAGATGGAGCTTTTCCTGGGCTGTGTCTCTAGAGAGGTATTTTTAAAGGGTGTTTTTGTTCTTCCAGCCTTGGGATCAAAACTTCATAAAACTATTTTATTATAATGTAGTATTAATGTGGAAAATGAAAATTCCTTCTGCTAAAGAAGCTTTTTATTCCATCCTTCTCCTGAAAAATCCAAAAGATAATATGATGTCAGTAACATTAAGTGGCAGGAAGAAGGCAATGTTATCATACTAAGAATCTTTTCAGATCAATGACAATTAAAAAACCAGAAAGCAGCAGATTTATCTAATTTACCAGATTAAAAAACTTGGGAAGATTTTTATTTTCTTGAGGGGATGGGTGTTGCTAAACCCATGATGAAGTATTCATTTGACATTTTTCGTTCCTTTTTCTTTGTGGAATTCATTACAGTGAAGCACTTTTAATCAAAATACCAATTTTATCAAATGGAGGTAAAATACTCTTGGTGATTCAGATATCACTCTTTCCTTGGGTTTTCATAACCAATTTTGATGATATAGTTTACAAATTAGAGAGTTGCAGAATTCACTTGTTCCTGTTGTTAAATTTAAGGGAATTTTTAGTAATGCTTGCCACACGTATCCAGCTGCCCAGCACTTGCGGCCTTGCTGATTTCTGCTGGCGAAGGCCTCTGGATTTTGGTGAGTGCCTCTGTGCTTGGCCTCCTACCCTGCCCAATGGACCAGGGAGCCAGGATTGCTTGGCGTGCTGCATCTCACTGCACCGGGGAGGGAACCGTAGAGTCTCCATGTCCCCAAGAGTGGGGGGCGGCCGCAGTCTGAGCGCATTGGGCAGAAATGGAGATGTGGGGCTGTTACCTGAGTCAGTCCCTGTGTCTACAGGGATACCCTAAAAAGGATGTAATGCTGGGAAGGCAAATGCTGAAAAACCTGGAATTAATTAAGGCGAAAGAGTTCAGCAGAGCGTCTTAAACACCTTTGCCGGTGTGGGGCAGTGCTTC